CCTCGGGAGCCCCGGCAGGCCTGGGCCGACGCCCGCCCTCCGGTTCCCTAGGCATCGAGGAGCTGTGCCAGAAGCGCGAGGAGCTGTGCCGGCAGATCCAGCAGGAGGAAGACGAGAAGCAGCGGCTGCAGAATGAGGTGAGGCAGCTGACGGAGAAGCTGGCCCGCGTCAACGAGAACCTGGCGCGCAAAATCGCCTCCCGCAACGAGTTTGACCGGACCATCGCGGAGACGGAGGCCGCCTACCTCAAGGTGGAGCTCGGGAGGGCTGGGCGCCCCCACCGCCGCCGGCCTGGCCGAGGCCTGGGGCGGCCCCGGGACCTTCAGGCAGCTGTGGGCAGTCTGCTTCAGTTGCGCTTTGGGTTGGGGCAGCGTGGCCAGGCCGCTGCGGGGGTGGGCGTGGGGCCTGGTGTACTCGGGGTTGTCCTTTGCGGCGTAGCTCGCTCTGCTCAGCGTGAAGGGTCCCGTTTGGTCAGAGCACCCCAGCGTGTGCCAGCGCTAACCCTGCCTGGCTGTGAGGGTGGGGTAGGCGGTTTGGGGGTCAGAACCAGAAAGGAAAAGGCAGCCTCGCCACAGAGGCTTCCACCTGCCCCCCAAGGTGAGGCCTGTAGGCTACAGCACCACCGCTAGGTCCCAGTCCTCAGTGTGACAGAGGTCAGGGCTTGGGGCCTTGGGCCTCCCTAGTGGGGAGAACAGTGACCACATTTTCACGTCTGTTCCCAGATCCTGGAGAGCTCACAGACTCTGTTGAGCGTCTTAAAGAGGGAAGCTGGGAACCTGACCAAGGCCACAGCCTCAGACCAGAAGAGCAGCGGAGGAAGGGACAGCTGACCAGGCCATGGGTAGCACCTGCCTCACTGTGCCTAGTCGGCCTGGCCCCAGCAAGCCGGTCCTTAAAGCATCTTTGTTCTTCGTGACAGCAGCTGCCTTCTCGCTGCCTCGGGTGCCGAGTGGGGCCTGGCTTTGTGCTCACGTGGGCTGTGATGGGCTCAGGTCCGCTCTGCCAGGGGCCTCTCTCAGGCGCCCCCTCTCCTGGGCTGCCGGGGAGTCCCTGGTTCAGCCTCAGCACCCCGAGTCCCCTTCCCTGCCCCTCCTCAGCCAGTAGGGGCCCAGGCTAGGCAAGTGGGGCAGAGGGAGGGGCCTTCTTTATCCCTTAGCCTAAACCTCAGGGCTTTCTCCTGTGGCTTGTGACCATGTCAATAAAGGTGGTTTTTGTACAGATCTGTGCCAGTCTGCTGCCTGCCTGTGTCAAGATTAGGGGGCTGCCAGGCAGTCACAGAGCCAGCGCCAGAGCCCCCGTCCAGCTGCCCTGGCAGCTCCTTGGATGGAGGGGAGAGGAGGGGCTGGAGTGGCTTTCCCCGGAACTTGCCCACCGGGCCTCAGGAACACAGCTGACACAGGGCACCTCCCCCCCGCCCCAGGTCAGCCCTTAGCTCTCCTCAGCAGGCTGTTGTGCTCTTCCCTGGTCTCAGGCACAGCCCGTCCCATGAGGGCCCCTTGCTGGTCCTGTTTCCTGGCACACCCTGGTGTCCGGCACAGAGATAGCTGGTGACTGCCAAGCGAACATGCCAGCTGCTCTGGGCCAGGAGACCCTTCTCCGTGAGGACCGGGCAGCTTCACGTCATGCCACCCTCCGCTCTAAGTTCTGCTGCCTCCGGAACCTGGTGTCCCTTTTTCCCTGGCCGCACACCATGTGTTGCGCAGGCCCTCTGTCTCCATCCTGTCCCTGCAGCTGCAGCAGCCAAGGTCCAGGCAGGCCCGGGAAGCACATGTTGATGAGAGAAAGCCAGACCCACCCCAGGGTGGGCAGCATCCCTGCTCCTGGGTTGGACTCCACAGGGGAGAAGACACAGGAGAGAAGGACACTGGCATTCACTGCCAGAGTCTGTTTGGATGTGGTTGTAAATAGCTCTGTGGTCCCCAAGCAGGTGCTGCTTCTGCCTCCCACAACCTTGTTCCAAGCTGATGTAAGACAAGACCCCCAAATCTCTGCCTACCACCAGAGCTGCCCGTGTGCTGCCCTGCCCTGGGTCCCCTCAAACCCAACAGCTGCCGCTCTCTCGCCCTCCCACTGGGGCCTAGGCCCAGAACACGAAGCACCCCCCCCAAAGTACCAGACTCTGGAGGCTGAGAAGAGGTCAGAGCCTGACGGTTGGGATCTCAAGGCCACTTAGGTCCTTGGCTCCCACTGCATCCCAGCTGCCCCCGTACCCCAGCTGAGGACTGTGATAGGCAGAGGCAGCCTTGTCCAGTGCTGTTTATTGAGTCTGCTGTCAGAGGCAGGACAGACTTGCTGTTTACCAGAGGGGGCGGCTGAGCCCCACCATGACCAGTGAGGGAAGGTGGGGGCAGGGGGAGCTCAGTCTGCAGAGAGCAGGCAGCCACTGGGAGACAGAATTGGCGGGCAGGACCGAGATCAGCCTGGCACTGCACCTGCTCAGGCCCCACCTGGTCCCTGAGGGGCAGGACCCTGGCCCTCCCCACAGGCAGTTCCACCTCCACGCTTGGCCCCCAAGCCAGGGCTGGGAGTGAGTCCCAGGCGGACCTAGAAGCACCGGCTGCTTCTAGGGCCAGGAAGGGGGTGGGTGTCGCAGAGAGAGCAGAAGGGGGTGGGCTCCCGGGCACTGCCCCGCTTCTGGGCCCCACGCCTGAGGCTCAGCCTTGGCCATCCTGACAGTGCTGGGTCAGAAATAGAGGGCTGGCTCGCTGCGGAAGTCCGAGAGGTCGTTCTGACTGGCAGGCGTGAGCTGAGAGAGAAGACAGGGTGTGGTGGGGGGCTCCTCCGGGCATCAGCCCCCCACCCCCCACCCGCCAGACCGTGGGTGCCGTGGGCATCTACCCTCCCTGCCCCGGCTCACCATAACCTCCCTGGGCGGGGGCTCCGCTTCCCTGGGGGCCTGCTCTGGCACCTGCTCCTGCCACTTGCTGAAGGCCACAGAGTGCTTCGGAGTGTAGCTGGACAGGCCTGCGGGGCAAAGGGCACATGGGCACGTGGACGCGCAGCCCAGGCTCCGCCCCCGCTGCCTAGCCCCACAGCGGGACGCTCACCTGAGCCGCCCTCTGGCAGCCGAGGACTCTCGGGCCCCACACTGCCCACAAACGTGGCCCGGGGCAAGAAGAGCGAAAAGGGCTTCTCTGAGCCAGACTCTTCCTCCTCCTCGTCCTCCTCGTCCTCCTGCTCCTCGTCCTCCCCCACCTCCACATCCTCCTGTGCCAGGGAGCTCTCAGAAGGATACTCAAACGTGGTCTGCAGGCTCCGGTCGTTGAAGGAGATCTTCATCTGGGAGGGCGACAACACGGCCCACCGCTAAGTGAGGCTCAGCAGGGCCGCTCACGACCAGGCCGCCCCCCGCGGGCGCAGACTTCACCATCAGCCCTCGGGGGAGAGCGGGAAGACCGCTCCGCTTGGACCCCACCTGCCCTCCCAGGGACCTGACGCCAGCCAGGCCCGGGACCTCAGAGCCTCTGGGTCTCCAGATGCCCCAGGCCAGCTCCCAGGGCCGCAGGCTGCCGCCTCGGACGCTCCTGCTCTGCTGTCTGAGCAGAGCGCTGGCTGAGGGGGACATGGCGCACATGCACTCCCGCCTGGCAGCTCCGCGGCAGGGGCAGGGCCACAGTGAGGCTGCAGCACGGGGCCCGCACCGCTCCTGCTGGTGACGGAGGTCTCTTCCCTGGAGCTTGCTGGGCACCTGGCCAGGCCTGGCCGATCCTGTTGAGCACGACTCCGTGAGGGCAGGACCCGTGCGAGGCGTCCATGCTGGCGGCCACTGAGCCACCCGCAGGCACCATCACCCGCTCTGTAGACAGGGCCAAGGGTTGGCCCAATGCCAGGCACAGTGGCTCATGCCTGCAATCCCAGCACTGGGAGGTTGAGGCAGGAGGACTGCTTGAGCCCAGGAGTTCCAGACCAGCCTAGCTAACACAGCGAGACCTCATCTCTACAAGAATATCAGCAGGGTTCAGCAGCATATGCGTGTAGTTCCAGCTACTTGGAAGGCTGAGGCAGAAAGCTTGCCTGAGCCCAGGTCGAGGCTGTGGTGAGCCAAGACGGTGCCACTGCACTCCAGCCCGAGGGGCAGAGTGAGAGTTTGGCTCAGGAAAAGTTTCCCTGGGACTGCACCAGTGAGCAGTGACCACCTCTTCCCGGCCTGCCCGTTCCCTAGGCTGCAGAATTCCACATCCAAGCAAACTCCTCCTGCTCCCAAGGGCCTCGGAGCCCAGGTGGGGCTGCTGGTCCCAAGAGGCAATGTGGACAGAGGGCAGGCAGGGACAGAGGGCTGTGGGCACCCACAGTCAGGATTCTCCATGCCCCCTGGCCAGGCTCCTGAGCGAGCAGCCCTGAGACCAGGCTGTGCTGGGCCAGGGGCTGAGCGCCCCATGAGAGCTCCATTCCCACCAGGCCGTCTCAGCCGTGGTCGGCCCAGGCCTGCAACAAACATGAGCAGCTACCCCCACGGCAGATGGAGCAGCCTCGCCGGAGCTCGAAATATTAAACTCTTCCTGGGCACAGGACACCAGCCGCCAGCTCAAGTTCCTCCTGCTCCCCTGGAAGGAGCCGGAGGCAGGAGCCGGGCCCCAGGCAGACAACAGTGGTGGCTCAGCCACGGCAGGGCAGAGCAGGGCCTCTCAGACAGGTCATGCTCACCCCAAGGCAGCTGAGGGTCCCAGCACTGACCGCAGGGGACACGCTTGGGGCCACCAGGACATGGAGTGCTGCTTCGCAAGCTGACACCCAGAAACAAGGACACGCACTCCTGCCATCCTGGCCCCTCCAGCGGCCACACCCGCCACACGGCCAAGGGCACCCCTGAGCTCTTTCTCTCCACGAGACTCCCCCATGCCACAGCCAGAGGCTGCTCCGTTCCTAGCTCCCGGCTTCCCCATCTCTACGTGGCTCACAGAGATCACTCACTCCGTCCCCACCCCAGGGCGTCAGCACAGATGAGCAGTGGGCAAAGGGAGCAAGACGAGTGACTCGGGGCGGGGAGACGCCCGGACAGGCGACACAATCAACAAGATGTCCGCTCCTGTCCCTTAGCCTGCGCCCAAGTACACCGGTCCTAAAGCTGCCATCCCATCGGTGGCCGACAGGGCAGAGGCAGGGACAGAGGGGTGGCCAACGGGCCCACAGGCACCCACCTGCGGCCAGCTGGCCAGGAGTAGGGCCGCCTGGCCCTCCCAGACCAACTCTGGGACAGACCCCCAGGAGGAGGGGCCCAAGGCAGGATGGGGCAGTGGGCGAGGGTCTCCCATGCCCCAAGGCCCCACAGCAGATGGAACTCCCAGTGGCCCTGGATCCACGCAGGCATCCTGGATGACCCCGAGCCGCCAGGCCCATCCCCCACACTGAAAACACAGGAAGAGCCAGCTGCCAGGCCTGGGGATTAGCACCCTCGTTAGCGCACATGACCAGCTCCCAGCAGGGAGGCCGGGGGCTGGGTGACACGACTTGAGCCTGGCACAGCCTGGCCAGGCAGCGGGGATGGGAGTACCCGGCAGCCCCCGTCCGCCCCCGCCGGGCCCAGGGCTCCATTCACGTCCTCGCCTGTCACCGCGGCTGGCTGGCGCCATGGGACTCACAGCCCTCCCCTCCCAGGGCCCGGGCTCTGCCAGCCCCCTCTGTGGGGACGGGTCAGGGGGTCCCAGGACACCCCGTGACACGCTGTGGGGAGGCGGCCTCCAGACCCCAGGCGCCCAGGACAGGCAAGAGGCGCGGCCAGGGCTGGCACCGCGCACACCTGGTCTCAGCCTCTTGTGGACTTTGCCCGGGACGCCGAGCCCCGAGGCAGGTGGGCTAGGGCTTGGCCTTGCCCTCAGCAGAACCTCTGGCTCACAGGGCCCTTTGTTCCTCCTCGAACCTCCCTGCTGTGCACACCCAGCTTTGGTTACCACAGGGCGTCCACCCTGGGCTGGGGCGGGGATGGGGCCCAACCTGCCTGGGGCGGGCGTGTGCTCCGCCGGCCCTCACGTTGCCTCCACCTGCCCGCCCCCCACAGCCCCCGCCGGTTCCCGCGGTGACAACACCAGGCCAGGGCTGCCCGGTGGGATGTCCACAGCTGCTTCCGTGACTCTGGGTGATCCCAGCCCGGGGCGTGGCCTCTGCCACTGGGGAAGCTGACGGAGCCAGGTCTACACCTGTTCCCAGATCCCTGGCCCCAGGAAAGCCACATAGGTGGGCCCCTACAGGGAGAGTCGGTGGAGGGAGTGGAAGAAAAGCCGACAAGCAGGACTTGGCTGCCAGCACCAGAGGCACAACAGGCCCCAGCCACCAGGTATCCGCCCTGTGCAGTGCAAGAGGCGGAGAGGGTGCCACTCAGGCTCGGGGCTTGGCGCTGGCTGGGTGCTGTCTCTAGGAAGAGCAGATGGCGGGGCATCACCCTCGGGTCTAAAGATCACAGCGAGGCAGGACAAGACCAGCCCGCAGAAGCTGGGCGGAGGCCACACTGCAGGGGAGCGTGATGGCCCTGGGTGTCAAGGCCAGGAGCAGCCGACAGGCTCGGGCTGGCACAGGGCCAAGAGGCAAGGAGGACAGGCGGGAGGGGAAGGGGCAGCCAGACAGGTAGGAGCCGGGCCAGGTGGCGCTCCACGGAGGCGAGGCTGCAGTGCCGAGTCCTGGGAGCCCGTGTGAAGAGGCAGAGGAGGCGCCCCCACCGGAAGGTGGCCTGGGTGTGGCTGTGGCACCCCGGCCCTAGAGGAGAGAGACAGGGCACCCGGTGGCTCCACCCGCAAAGAACTTAGGCGGGGACCTGTGTCCACCAGGCAAGCTTCTGGGCAACTGGCAGCCAGCTCCCGCCACACAGAGCAGGGCTGCCGCTCTCCCAGGTCAGGCAAGGGCACGAAACCCAGGACAGGCTCCACCCACTGACACCTACAGCCCAGACAGCCCCACCTAAGCGCTGCCCCTCCCCTGCCCCCAAGAAAGGCACCAGCACCTCACACTGCTATCTTGGGTCACCCAGCAAAGCCAGCTGTCAGCCCCAGGTCCTGCTGGCCCCAGGCCCAGCACTCCAGCCCACCCAGACCCGGGGGTGCGGGCAGGGAGCAGGCGCGTGATCCGAACCAAAGGCTGGTGGGAGGGATCCCAGGGCATAAGGGGCAGGCTTGCCCTGCAGCCCACCGTGCCCGAGGCCAGCACGGAGAAGCTGGCAGCCCCAGGCCTCCATGCCTGCCTGATCGGGCTTCTGGCTCTTCCTCGACAGGGCAGCTGGTTCGTGCCCAGGCAGGAAGTCATGGCCGGCAGGGCCATGCCCAGGCCACCTGGCCACACCAGGTACCGTCCATCTGGACTGCAACCCCTTAGGCTGGCACGAAGACCCAGTCAGGCTGGCTCAAGCCCTGCCCCCCACAGGTCCTGGGCCTGCTTCCCAGGCTCAGTGGGACCTCCCATCACCCCTCCCTGACCCCTCTGGCCCTTCTCACTCCAACCTGGCCACAAGCGACCCCACGGTCTGGCTCTGTCGGGGCAGGTGCCCAGTTCTGGGGAGCAGCCCTTAAGTCCCAGGAGGGAGCCAGGCTCTCACCGGATGGCCACACGGGCTAAGGTGAGGGTCCTAGAACAGCACCCCGAGTGCCCCAAGCTCCGTGACCCTGGTAAGCCTCCCAGCCCCAGTCTTCTCGCTGCAAAGAGGCAGCCGTCACCACCAAGACTCCCTGGGCAAGAGGGCAAAGGGCCCACCCCGTGCAGCAGCCAGGGGCAAGATCCGGAAGCAACGGGCAGGCAAGAGCAGGAGGCAGGATGGGCTGGAGCCAAAGCTCCGAGCGGCATCCCCTGAAGGGGTGAGAGTGCGGTGGGGCTGGGGTTGGCGCGGGGCTCAGCCCACAACTCTCACCCGAAGCACTCCCGGAGGTCTGTGTGGCTGCCGGACCCCGCAGATGGAGCCGGCAGGAGCCCTGATGCCCCCGCCGGAGGACAGCAGGGAGGGGCGCCATGCCGAGGCCCGGGGCAGGAGGCAAAAGAAGGGCGAAGGGGGCACGCCAGCTAGACGGGGCCACAAGGCCCAGTCACCACCCCACTGCCCCCAGGGAGCCCAGGCTGAAGAGGCTGCCTCTGCCGGGAGCCTGAATGCCACCTGGCTCTAGGGTGGAACCCAGGACAGGAGCAGCCGGGAGGTGCCCCCCAGGAAGGCACACCTGCTGTCCCACCCAGGGAAGCAATGGGCAAATCACATGGAGCTGGCCTTGGAATTTGCCCCGGGGAACAAACACAGGACTGGAATGACCAGGAAGAATCTGAGGAACGTTTTCTTGTGCCCCGAGGGTTCCAGGCCACCGGTCAGGGCCAAGGCTGGGGACTGAGGCCGGCCTTGCTGGGGCTCCAAGCCTCCCGCAGGGCTACACTTGGGTCCCTCCACCCAGGGCCCCTCCCCCACGAGCTTCTCGGCACCACCCCAGGCGGCCTGGCCTGGAACCCGCAGGGCGACGTTCCTGCTGCTCGTTCAGGCAGTGTGCCTTCTGGGGTCCAAGAGCCCCCTCCAAGCCGCTCTGGGCTGTGCCCCAGGCTGACCGTGCCTTGGGGGCCCAGCCGCCCCCAGGACTGCCTCCTGCCCCTCCCACGCACATCCTGGCACCTGCCACCCACATAGGCCAGAGTTCCAGAAGCCCACGCCAGACCGTCCCCTTAAAGCCAGGCCAGGGAGGAACCAACAGACCCAGGTCCGTTCTCCCCGTCAGACCCATGAGGCAGGCCTGCCCAGCCCATTAGAGAGGACGCCATGGGAACTGAAGGAGGCGACGCGCCGGCTGGCCTGGCCTGGCCC